GCATTGACAAGCGAAGATCGACGATCGAAGACCGTTGCAACGCGCGGTACTACATATGCATGTACATATGCAACTGTGGCAAGTTAGCGAAGCGAGAAAAATAGCAGACAAACTGAAACTAACAAAAAATAAATAAAATAAAAAATAAGAAAGCAAAAAAAAAAAGCAGCCGTAGGATGGGATGAAATTCCACCACATGCAGTCAATGGGAACACGTTTGGTCGTCCCTTGTCTTTCCATATGCGCACATGCATGTACATATATGCATTAGGGTGGTCTAAAAATGCATGTGGAATAACATAAAGTTCAAATTTTAAGGCTCTCACCCCCCCAGGATTGTAGTAAATAAATCGAAAAAATACACCACTGTGATTTTATTTCGAAATCAAAAAATGTTTCCTTGTATTTGATATGAAAAAAAGAAATTTTTCGTGGAAATGGTACAGAATTCTTAAAAGTCAATATTTTTCAATCGGTGAAATAATTTATTTCGGTATTGAAAAATAATTTAGGGGGTGAGGGCCACCCTAATGTGCATACATACATACAATATGTACGAATATGTATATGTATACATACGTGGTGCCGGCGAAATTGCCCTCACCGGCAGCAATAGCAACAAAAATAGGCCCGGCAGTAAAAGTCGATTTCAAAAACTTTTGCAACAGTTGCCGCATTACCAGCAATGCCGGTTTCCGTTGCCGGCAATAAAATGTCGCAGAGCTTTACTGCCTGCTCGTGCTGTATGTAGTTCATTGAAGTCTTGCAAGCAAGTCTTCCTCTCGCAGTGCTAAGCTAAATATAATTTTACTTGAATATATGTATACGTATGCATACATACTATGGTATGTACATATGTATGTATACTGCTGCACATGCACTTTATTATTCCCATTTTATGCACAGCCAAATGGAATGCATGAGACCTTAATTAGCGGCAGACATTTCTGAACTACTTTATTTTTTTCAGAATTTTTTTTTTTTTAGATTTTCTATCCTTCTATTCATCGATCATTGTTCGCGGGAATATGAGCGCGTTGGCATGTCGAGTAAAATCTAACTTTCAAAAAATCATGTTTCTAGAAATGCTCCACATTTCGCCTGCCCTGCTAACAATTATTCGCTAATTAATGGTCAATCTTAATGATTTAAAAATAATTTTAATTGGAAACCACTGAATTACTTATTTGAATTTTTAAATTTTCAATATTCCGACTCGCGCATGGAAAATGTTAAACACATTCCGATTTGCGTTTATAAAATGATTTACGTTAGGATTTTTCTACTTTTTTTCACGCACAACATCCTTGTAGCCAAAGCCAAAAAACATTTTCAAACAGAAGCACTTAAAATAAATTACGGTCAGATGTGTGCATTTTCGTAAGAAATTAAAAATAAACACAAACATTTTCTATTGCCTGCCATGTCAACATGTTAATGAGCTGCAATATTATAAAATTCAAGGCCGAATCCATTTGTTTTTGATATGTCATTATGCATTAAATCACACTTGGCGACAGTAAAAATTTTAATTTTGAAATTTTGCGATAAAATTTTTAGTGCGCATTGTTTCAAAAAGATGTGAAATTTGGCGATGAAATTCCTGACAAATAGGTCTCCTAAAAACCCATATGCTAAACACGAAACTGCCGATTAAATAGTGTGAAAAATTTACCTTTAGTAGCCACGTTTCGATTGAGAAATTGTGCAGATTCCCACTTACATACATACCTTACTCAAGGTACAGTTTTCTATTGTAAAGGTAATAGAGGTCAAAAGTACTATACAAGATACTATACAAGATACCATTATATGTAGTATGAAAATTATGCGAAGTTATTGTTAAATTTTTACATTTTTAAATATTCATAAGTTGAAAAATTGTCCCAATCAAATCGCATTGTTTCATTTGCTTTCTGGAAACATTTCGGATTTTCTCACACAAGAACATACGCGCAGATGATTTCACCGCATCAGCTGAGGTGAAAATAAGCCTTACTGCACAAATTTCAATCGGACAGTGGCCGGTAAGGGGAGCTTCTTAAATCGCATCCGATCTTACCGATTCTACCGAACTAAGCCACGTTGTATTCTAAGGAGATCTCTCCAGCAGTGGACCAAATGTGGTCAATCGAAGACCTACACTTACTTTACCCGGCGACAACTCCTTAAGAGTGATCTACCTTGCCAGTTCATTGGAGCTACAGATGCTTATTATACCGCCATGGCCAGAAACCCACTTTAGCTTCCGCGGGGAAAAACACTTTACTGATTTTGGCACCTCTCTGGAGACACTTGCAGCTCATTTCTCATCAAACTTCGACCCATACGTGAATAAATTTACTGAGCTAAATTTCAAATATGGAATTCCATCCTATATTTCTCACGTAATAGAGTCTGAGTTGTGTGCCTTGTGGCCCGATATTGTAGTAAAAATCCTTAATTTTTGGGCTAGCAAAAGGTCATTGCGCGTTGCAGCATGAGAGTTATGGATCCACCTTAGTGACAGTCGGTTCAGCCCAAAATTTGCACCATAAGTCTTTTTTTTGGCTTATAATGTCTTTCAGAGGCCACTTGCGGTTAATCTCTATCCAAGATGCGGTGACTTTTCTCTTTTTCATGTGAAAGTCGACACAACGTCTACTTTGAGAGCGGATTCATTGTAACTTTTGCTAAGCATACTCGGCTCCTATATAGCAGATTCTTTTTCATGAAAAAATTTTTTGTTTACTTAAAACTTTTCGTGCCAGCTTGTTCATTTTGTTAGGCAATATTTTTAAGCAAAGTTATTGGAAGACTTTTTTATTTTATTTTTTCGCTCTGAATTATTTTAAATTTCTCTTGAAGCCAATAATTAAAAAAAATTAAAAATTTTGATTTGATTGAAAAGGATTTTAACCAACATCAAGTGTACCACAAATCCCAGTAGATTTCATTCATTCATTTGATTAGCTAATTAGCTACTCGCGCTATTCATTTATGAAAGCACTTGGCTCCGATCTTTAAATGACAATTTACTTATTATTAGCTATAATTTGAGTACTTTACAATACTTTCCAACTCGAAGCTAAGTACTTGTGCACAGCAGTGGGTCAAGTGCTTTGATAATTTTTAAAAACGTACATTGTAGTATTCGTATACATAAATACCAATGTTCACAAATACAGCAGGAACCACATATTTTCACACTTGAATTGTTCGTAAAACACAAGTGTCTACTGTGGTTTGCATTGAACTTGAAAGACTTGTTCGTATTACAAGCGCGACCATGCAAATTTATACATACTCGTACATACATACATACCCACATACGTATGTAGCAGTGTTGCCACAAAAATTTACCAAATTCCTCAAAAACAAATGAAAAATCTTCAAAATCTGATTAAATTACTAAATAAGTCAATGTGAATGTATTCTCTCCAGTTGTCATCGAGATTTTGCAAGTTCAAAATAACTTGAAAATATAACGATGGAATGAAAAAAATTATCGATAACATTTTGAATATTTGGCAGCAAATGCAGATCTAAAGCTATTTATGTTGCGTATGGGGTTGTTTGAAGGTTTGACAAGCCGTTTGAGGAAAATGTGAACAAAAATCATTTTTTTTTTGATTTTCTGGCCGCCATGTTGACGTTTGATCAAACCGGTTACGTTGTGTATTGTAAAATCGCCTCATTCGCAACGGAATTTTCACCGAATGAGGATGCAAGAGAGAACAATCGAAGAAAACCAAACCATTTTACATTATGAACCGGAAGCAACTAAAACTCTTTACTTGAACGAGTCATGTTTGCGTGGTGTATGACGTAATGGGAAAAGTAGGCTTGAGAAATGTTTGACAAGCCGCTTGTGTGGTGTATTTCGCTCTTTATAAAATTTCGGAAATCTTTTTGTTCAAACATTTACAGGGCGATTTAACGACTCTGTTCAGTAAAAAATGGTTGCATTTGTTATCTGCAAATATATCTGGAGGAAGTTCCTCAAAATAAAAATCCTCCAAAAA